TCATCATAATCATCATCTTCATCATCATCATCATCGTCGTCATCATCATCATCATCATCGTCATCATCATCATCATCATCATCATCATCATCATCATCATCATCCTCATCCTCATCCTCATCCTCATCCTCCTCCTCCTCCTCCTCCTCCCTGCCCCTCCCCCTCCCCAATTCCCCCTCCTCCTCCCCTCCTCCCCCCTCCTCCCCCTCCGCAACGCTGTCGGGCGAGGCGCCGCCGCTGGAGAGGCCCCCGAGACCAAAATGCCGCCACTCCCCCGACCGCTCTCCCCGAGTGCATTCTGACCAGAGTTTCGAGGCAAGTGGGACGCACGAGGAGGAGGAGGAGGAGGAGGAGGAGAAGGAGGAGGAGGAGGAGGAGGAGGAGGGAAGGAGGAGAGATGAGGATGAGGAGGAGGAGGAGAGAGGAGGATGAGGCGGAGGAGAGGAGGAGGAGAGTGGAGGAGGAGGAGGAGGAGGGGAAGGAGAGGAGAGAGGATGAGGAGGGGAAGGAGGAGGAGGAGAGAGGAGGAGGAGGAGGAGGAGGAGGAGGAGGAGAAGGGACGCCGCGGGCGGATCGCCCCCCCCTGCCCAGGGTCCTCCCGTCGCCCCCACGGGAATTCCTCGTCTCTGCGGGAAGTGTCCCCTGGAAAGACGAGCCTCCATTGGGACGCACAGGGACATACTCATGCTGCACGTCCTCCTTTGAGGCGAACGTCCGAACCGAACATAGAATATACTGCAGGTCCGTGCCGTGTCGACCCTGGCGTTGGTTCCTGACACCGCGCTGGATCGTTCAACCTTGAACGATCGGCCGTTTCCGCAACTTCCGATCGTTCAACATCGACCGATTCTGGGCCGCCGTCGGCGTTCAACGTTGAACGTCGGCGGCGGGGTCGCCGCTGGTCGACACGACGCGAACCTACCGTACCCATCTTGCAGTGTATCGTTTCCCGAACGGTGCGGCCAGAACGCGCCCCCCACGACGCGTGTACGATAAGATTTGTCGGTGCGCGCGTCGCCCCTGGGGGGGGGGGGGCGACGCACATATAGCATAAGTATGCTAGGGGTGACGCCGAGCGACGAGGGCCTCCAGGGAGGTTCAAGGAGGCGAGAACGACGAACGGGTGGCGGGGTCGGCATCTTTGCCTCCTCGTGGAGCCTGTTGACCCCTGTTGCCGCCCGTGGAGCGCAAAACAACGAGAAGCCAGACCAAGACTGAACTCGGTATCGTCGGTGCTGGTCTTGGTCAACGCCTGTCCTGGTCAAAGTCAATGCGTAGATCGTCCTCGCGAATCGGCGTCGGCCTGCAGTGGGCCGCGACCGGGAGCGGCGTCGACAAGACCCCGCGGCGCCTTGGTCGTGGTCATCGTTGACGGGCCTGTGTTCCCCCACCGCCCACCACCACCATGAGTTGGAGGGGGAGGGGGTCCTCCTCCTCCTCCTCCTCCTCCTCCCTCCTCCTCCTCCTCCTCCTCCTCCTCCCCTCCCCCTCCTCTCCTCCTCCTCCTCCTCCTCCTCTTCTTTCCCCTCCTCCTCCTCCCATCCTCCTTCTCCTCCTCCTCCTCCCTCCTCCTACCCCTCCTCCTCCTCCTCCTCCTCCTCCTCCCTCCTCCTCCTCCTCCGCCTCCTCCTCCTCCTCTCTCCTCCTCCTCCTCCTCCTCCTCCTGCCTCCTCCTCCTCCTCCTTTCGTCCCCTCCTCCTCCTTTTTCTCCTCCTCTTTTTCTCTCCTCCTCATCCTCCTCCTCCTCCTCCTCCACCTCCTCCTCCTCCTCCTCCTCCTTCATCCCCCCTCCCCTCCCCCTCCTCCTCCTCCTCCTCCTCCTCCTCCACCTCCTCCTCCTCTTCGTCCTCCTCCTCCTCGTATTCCACCTCCTTCCCCCCTCCAACTGAATTACGGCGGTGGTGGTGGGAAACAGGCCCATCAATCGTGCTTCTTCCCTCGAGCCCGCCCGCAAGGCGGCGGCGCCTTCTGCCCCGCGTTCTCCCTGTCCTCTCGGGAGGGTGGCAGTGGGGGGGTGGGTTATCTTTAGGTCGGGCGTGTCCTCCGATGTTGGACGAAACATTTAAACATGACTACAGATGTTCCAGAATGGTCATGGGGGGGTGCAGAAATCCGCTGGCTCCCTTGCGGGGCCATCAGGCTGCGAGGACTAGGCTTGAAGCTCCCTGTGCCAGTTGCAGTTTACAGTTTCCACTGTTAGAGTCCTGCTTTCTGCGTCCTTGATGTAAACTGTTGCTGAACGCGCGAGGGGAGAGAGCCGAAAAGCGTCCTGGTTAGCGTCACCGAATCGCGCTGTCTGAATTCCAGGGGGGTCGTGGGGCACGTACCAAATATATAACATTCGCGTCCAATCCTTGATACATTACACCAGATTCGCGTCCCCGAGGCAAAACCCTCATAATCTGCATTATAGTCGCGTCCCCGAAGCCATAATCCCTCGCAACTTACGCAAGAGTCGCGTTCCCGAAACCATAAACCCTCGGATACTATACAATACTCGCGCCCCCGAAGCCATAATCCCGTGTAAAGTATGGAATGCTCGCGCCCCCGAAACCACAAACCTTTCAGCATTACTCCATGTTCACGTTCCCAGGGCCATACACCTTCGTAAATTACACCATGCTTGCGTCCCCGAGGCCACAAACCCTCAACAGATTATACCCGCATCCCCGAGGCCATAAACCTTTGCAAATTACTCAATATCTGCGCCCTCGAAGTGATAGCCCTTCGTACATAAATGAAATCCATCGTGCATTAAATAATATTCGCGCCACCGAAGCCATACACCCTCGTAAATTAAGATTGGCCCTCGCGTGAAGTCCCGACGTTGCTTCACGTGAGCGCCCAGACATCCCAACACAGCTCTGGCAAGTCCCATTCTAAGATTGGGGGGCCGGCGGCTAGGGGCGACGCCCTTTGATAGAAGGCCCAAAATCCACCCCCCTGATAACCACCCCGACAAACGAGGTCGTTTAATGGACGCACCCAAAGACGGAATCGAACAGGGCAGGGCTGTTTAGTGAAAGGCCCAGGGCCCTTTAACAAACGCCAATTATGGGGTCTGGGTGGTTTTTCTTCATTTGAAGACAAGGAATCCCTTTAGGGTCCATTTCTTCACCCCCCAAGTGATTTGTCTTTCGGCTCGGCGATAACCCGAAATATCCCGGGGGGGAGGGGCTGGCCGATAACCTGACCCTCGCGCTGTGGGCAGCCCCGCATATGCCCTCGCACACCTGTGCTGCGGCCCCCAGAGCTGCTAACTGCCAAAGATTCTGCGACGATGCCGCTGTTCGTGCTGCCACGATGCGGGCGCCGTCAAAGAATGCCGAGGGGCACCGCTGGACCTGCTCAACCCACAGAGCGAGGTTATCCAGGGGGCGAGCCCGATAACCCGAATTATCGCCGGACCCTAAAACAAACAGTTCCCATTTAGGGGGCAAAGACAGGGGAGGGCTGGCAGAAGCGGGGGCAAATCGACGTGAAATCGGCAGTACATCAACGATAGATCGACGCTTGGCCCCCGATCTTGAATCCGCACGCTCCCGTGCAGGCTGGAAATATCGGGCCTATGGGCGATCAATGGGCGATTGGGTGTCGATGCATCCTCCCCTATGCCTATCCCCCCGTATCGCTGCCCGAATCGTCGTCCAGGCTTCGGGTCATAACTCGGCTCTCTGGCGGCCGTTCGGGACGACCCGGGCATCCCAAGAACGGCCTCTGCGAGGCGCAGCGGCTGGAAAGCATCCCGGCGCTGGGCAACCGCCGAGAGCCGACGAGAACGCGCGAAAGCATCGAGAACCTCCAAAACCTATGCATCTGTAAGAACGGTTTTTCGAAGGCAGATCTGCCTTCAAAAAAATGGCCTACTCTGTAAGAACGGTCTTTTGAAGGCAGGTCTGCCTTGTAAGAACGGTTTTTTGAAGGCAGATCAGCCTTCAAGAAACCGTTCTTTTTTTGAAGGCAGATCTGCCTTCAAAAAACCGTTCTTACAGAGTAGACCAGTCTTTCCTCCTTGCAGGTAGAGTGCGCCTACCCCCGTCACCACCACCCCCGAGTCCTCCAGCGAGAGGCGCAGCCGCGGCCCAGGCCCGCCGCCGGCCGGCGGGCCCTGCCCCGCGAGCGGGGCGGTGTGCCCGGGCACCACGGTGACCTTGCACGCCGTCCACCGCCGACGCCGCCGCCGCCGCCAGTCGTCGTCGTCGTCGTCGTCGTCGTAGTCGTCGCCGCCACAGCCGCCGCCGCCATGCGTCGTCGTCGTCGTCGTCGCCGTCGTCGCCGTCGTCGCCACCGCCGCCGCCGCCAGCCGTCGTCGTCGTCGTGGTCGTGGTCGTGGTCGTGGTCGTGATCGTGGTCGTCGTCGTCGTGGTCGTCGTCGTGGTCGTTGTCGTGGTCGTGGTCGTGGTCGTCGTTGTCGTCGTCGTCGTTGTCGTCGTCATGGTCGTCGTCGTTGTCGTGGTCGTGGACGTGGTCTTGGTCGTCGTCATCGTCGTCGTAGTCGAGGTCGTCGTCGTCGTCGTCGTGGTCGTGGTCGTGGTCGTCGTCGTCGTCGTGGTCGTCGTCGTCGTGGTCGTCGTCGTCGTCGTCGTCGCCGCCGCCGCCGCCGTCCGCCACGGTGACCTTGTACGCGGGGTCCCGCGGGTCGCATCCTCCCCGGCACGGGGGACGACCCTGAGATCCTGGCGTCTCGATGCTTTCGAACCGGGCGATGTCGCCCAATGTTGGGCCCCAACACCCTTCTCAGATCGATCAAGCTCAAGAAATCACTCGAAAAGACTGGGTCCGAGGCTCCAGCCGTGATCTTATGTCTACGACGTTTGAACGTTTTCGCGCCGTTGGATCTCAGGGGAGGGGCAGGACGGGAGGAGCAGAGGCAGCAGGAAAAGGAAGAACGAGAGGAGGGAGGGAGCAGAGAGGTGCAGGAGGAAATTCGAGGGAGGAGGGACGGAGGAGGAGGAGGAAGGAGGGAGGAGATGGGAGGGAGCAGTGGGGGAGGAGGTAGGAGGGAGGGAGGGGGAGGGAGGGAGGGAGCAGGGAGGGGAGGAGGGAGGGAGCAGAGGATGAGAGGAGGGACGGAGGAGGAGGAGGAAGGAGGGAGGAGGGAGGAGGGAGAAGGGAGGAGGGAGAAAGAATGAGAGGGAGGGAGGGAGGGAGGTAGGGAGGGAGGGGAGGGAGGGAGAGGGGAGGAGGAGGAGGAGGAGGAGGAAGGAGAGGGAGGAGGAAGGAGGAGGAGGGGAGAGGAGGAGGAGGAGGAGGGAGGATAAGGGGAGGGAGGAGGAGGAGAAGGAGGAGGAGGAGGAGTAGAGGAGGAGGAGGAGGAGGAGGAGGAGGAGGAGGAGGAGGAGAGGAGAGGGGCAACACACATTTGGCCTTGTAATTACGCCGGGCCCCGCGGCTCGCATCCTCCCGAGGGCAAGTGGAGAAGAAACACGTGGCACGCGTGCCCTGGCTCTTGCACCAAGGAGCTGCGAGGGACAGGAGGCTTTCGCCTCCCTCCCCTAGGAGTTTCCCTCTGTGGCCAGGGGGGGAGAAGACGAACGACGAACGAACGACGACGACGAAAGAGGTCCCCGAGCTCCAGAACACAGCTGTGCGAGAAAATAAAAGAAACCCCAAGCCCACGCGTGCGGTGAAAAAAAAACGCGACGGCCGGCCTCTCTCTGTGTTCAGCCTCTGGCGGCCCTCGCTGGGACGAAAAATAAAAAATACCCCTAAAAATAGTCGAAAAATAGTCCCAAAATAGTCTGGGGACTATTTTCTGCATTTTTTTTTTGCCTTTGGGGGGTATGTTTGGGGTATTTTTAATTTTTCGTCGAAAATCCTCCTGTAGGGGGACACGCCCGACTTAACTCTGGGGGTCGACGCTGCGAAGCAGCAACAAGACGCGTCCAGCGCGCTCGCCCTGCTTGCTCATACGGCCTCGACCCCTCGCTCCCCACTCTGTCCCCCAGGGCGGGCTGACCTAAAGGGAAATTAGGACACACAAATAAATACACACAAATAAAACAAGTCCCCCATATTTTCCCATATTTTCTGGGTTTCTGTCTTCCCCGCCACTTCCCATATGTTCCCATATTTTCTGGGAAATCGCCGATTAATTGTGTCTGTGTGTTTCTTTTCCCCCTGAACTCTGTCCCCCAGGGCGGGCTGACCCCCGAACGCCACTCTGGCGCTCTTGCTTGTCTGACTACCTACCAGACCACCCCAACCCAACCCGAAGGCCCGAATTTCGGGTTGGGGGGGGTAAGGGTTCCATACGTGTTTTTTCGACGTTCCCGGACCCCCCCCCACTAGAAATGGAGGGCAAATTGAGGCCTTCGGGTTGGGTTGGGGTGGTCTGGTGGGTGGTGAACTCTGTCCCCCAGGGCGGGCTGACCCCCGAACGCCACTCTGGCGCTCTTGCTTGTCAAGCAGGCGGCCGCTGCAGAGGGCCCGGCGCGGACAGCGCGGAAAAGCCTCGAGCGGACCACCGGCCGCAAGCCCCCTGCCCAGACGTCGGGCATCTCGAACAAATCGAGACGGATTCTTGCTCGTCGTCTGCGGCCTTCGGGACCCTCCCCAGGCCTCGGGACCGTCAAAAATTCGGCTCGGGATGAGACACCGGTCCCGGGGAGGTGGTCGGGAGGTCGGGGGCCCGCGTCCCGAAACAATCGGGGCGTCGGAAGTCTGGGTCGAAGCGCCGCCGCGAGCACCGCCAGCAGGCCGACCAGGCGCAAACGGCACCGCAGTAGAGCTCATGCCGCGCACGCGGGCGCACGCCTCGAGGCGGGTGGGCGCCGGCAGCCCACGCGCGCGCTGGCCGTGGCGCGTGCTCTGCCGACTGCGCCGCTGCAGGGCAAGCGCAGCGGCAGCGGAAGTCGGAGGGCAGGCCCAGGCACGCAAGGCACGGCGGGGCCGCTGGTGATGGGCAGATCCTCCGCCACCACCACCACCATACGTTGGAGCGGGAGGGGTCCTCCTCCTTCCTCCTCCTCCTCCCCCCTCCTCCTCCTCCTCCTCCTCCTCCTCCTCCTCTCTGACTCTGTCACATTGTCATAATCATGCCCTCCTCCTCCTCCTCCTCCTCCCCCTCCTCCTCCTCTCGCCCAATCCTCCTCCCTCCTCCTCCCCTCCTCCTCCTCCTCGTCCCTCCTCATCCTCCCCCCCTCCCCCCTCCTCCTCCTCCTCCTTCTCCTCCTCCTCCCCCTCATCCCCCCCTCCAACTTCTGGTGGTGGTGGCGTAACGGGCCCCTCAGCTGGACAGGCAGCCCCTGGTGAGAGCACGCCTGGCGGGCCGAGCACTCGACCACCAGCGCGCAGGCCGTTGCGCACGAGGCACGGGGCCGAGGGGGCTGGCCGAAGCAGCCTCCGAGCGGGCGCGGGGGGCACGGCGCGCACGGCGCGGAGGCCCGCCGGGAGCAGGCGCACTCCTCGCCATCGCTCGGACGTCCATTCCCTGTGCTTTTTTCGGTTTCGTGCGTGTTTCTTTCGCCAGATGATCAAGGATGCTCCTCGATGGCCCTCGCCGAAGGAAAAATGCACACGTCCGAGCGATGCCAAGCACCTGGTCGCGGCAGAGAGGCGACTGAGGACTCCAATCGCCATCGCGAGACGGCGCAAGAATCAGGTCGGGCATGTCCTCCTGCAGGCGGATGCGGGGCGAACAAAAACATCACAAAATACCCCAAACTGGCGGGAGAGGTATCGAAGCATCGGCCCCAGACTAGTTGTTTGCTACGTTTGCAGATTCCTCCTGTAGAGATACGTTCCCGATTGAACGCAGGAAGCAGGCGTATACGCTTAGGTCGGGCCTATCCCCCTACAGGAGGATTTCGGACGAAAAATAAAAATACCCCTCCAACAGATACACCAAAAACATCTGCCGGCCCCCTTGTGGGGCCACCAGGCTGTTTGGCGAAGGCTCGCAAATTCCTGTACCAGCTGCAGCTTCCAGTTTCCACTGTTACAGTGCCCACTGTTCCTTGTTGATGAACCGCGCGAGGGGGGGAGCGTGTGCTCTGAATTGTTGGGGTGGGTAAAAATTCACACACCTCACACAGATCGGCAGGGTCAGGGTCCAAAGACATGAGGGATTTGCCACATTTCTGAAATTTGCTGGCACCCCTCACGCAGATCGGCGGGGTCAGGGTCCAAAAACGCGTGGGATTTGCCACATTTATGGAATTCGCTGGCACCCCTCACGCGGATCCGTGGGGTCATGGTCCAAGAAAGGAACTTGCCAGACTTTTTCAAAATTCGGTGGCACCCCTCACGCACATCGGCAGGGTCACGACGTCTTACCAACCGCCAGGTGTGGTCACCCCTCTGGTCACCTACCGGTTTTGCTCCTTACGAGTCGGCCTCGCATGAAGTTCCGATACTGCTTCACGACAGCGCCCGGGCCTCACGACATAGCTCTGGCACAGCGCGTCCTCCGAGGGAGGGGCCGGCGGCAGGGGGGGCGAAGCCCTCACGGACTCCAAGATGCGAAAGAAAGCTCTGAATGCGTCTCCCTCCTGTAGAAGGACAGGCCCGACCTAAGTATACGCCGACCCTGGCCGGGCCGACCCTGGGCCCACGGGTCGCTGCCTGCGCCCTCCGGGCCCGGCCACGAGGGGCACGTGCACCGATCCGTGGCCCAGGATGGGCCTGGACAGGATCGGTGCATGCATGGTGGGCCTGTTTGCCACCACCACCACCATGAGTTGGAGTGGGAGGGGGTCCTCCTCCTCCTCCTCCTCCTCCTCCTCCTCCTCCTCCTCCAGCTCCTCCTCCTCCTCCTCCTCCCCCTCACTCCCCTCCCCCACCTCCTCCTCCTCCTCCTCCTCCCCCCTCCTCCTCCTCCAGCTCCTCCTCCTCCTCCTCCTCCCCCTCCTCCTCCTCGTCCTCCTCCTCCTCCTCCTCCATCTCCGCCTCCGCCGCCTTTCCCCCTCCAACTTATGGTGGTGGTGGCGTAAAACAGGCCCATCAATGTATAGTTCTCTCCGCATGAAGAGACGAGGACGGGGAGGAAGAGGAGGACGAGAGCGAGGAGAAGACAGGCGGCAAGTTCGTGTCGTAACGACTCGTGTTGTTCCAAGCACCGCGCGGATCGTTCAGCCTTGAGCGGCCGCTGGCCTTCCGACGGCGAAGACCGTTCGATGTCGGCTGACTCCGTGCCACTGGCAACGTTCAACCTTGAACGCCCGCGCTGGGGTAGACGCCGCGCCGACACGACACGAACCTGTCGCACAGTCAAGCTGCGACCAGCAGGAACGCTGAATAAGGAACGAAGCCCCATTTTGGCCCCGACAGCGCCTCGGTGCACTCTGGCGCTGGAGGAACAGCCATGGCAGGGCCCAGAAGAACGGCGAGACCCGTCCGAACCCGAACGAACTGCTGCGAATCCCAGAGCTCCGGTGTCGCAAGTTTGCGCGTCCATTTCCTCGGGGAACGTTAAAGGCCTGTTTTCGATGTCTGCCCAACGTCAGGGAGGACGAAGGGAGGGAGGGAGGGGGGAGGGAGGGCGGAGCGAGGGATACTGGCAGGTCTGGACCCATTCCCCAGGGCCCGCGTTTCATCCTGGGTCCTTGTTTGACGGTCCTTGGCCCGACAGCGGATCCGCGCGCCAAAGGCAGCGCCGGGGGCGCCGCCAGGGGGCCCCAGCGCGGATCCGAGAAGTCCATGCGGAGCGCCGAAAGTTTATGTTCATGGCGGTTTGTCTTGTTCGATTCTCACACGACCGAGAAGGAGAAGGAGGAGGAGGAGGAGGACGAGGAGGAGGACGAGGAGGAGGAGGAGGAGGAGGGGAAGGAGGAGGACGGGTCGCCTAAGCCCTTCGGAGAAACCCTCCACCCGACGGGGAATTTCCTGGCCCGCAGCGGCGGCCCCGCAGGAGGAGACTTCCGGGCGGGGGTAAAGGGGGCGGCCGCGCTGTGCCCGGCCGGTGAATCCGCTGGAGAGGGGCGCCTGCTGCGGAGAGGCGCGGGAGGCGCTTCTCATGGCCTCCATCTCGGGCGACGACGACGACGAGGACGACGGAGACGACGACGACGACGACGACGACGACGACGACGACGACGACGGCGGCGACGACGCCGGCGACGACGACGACGGCGGCGACGACGGCGGCGACGACGACGGCGACGAGGAGATGCCGGAGGCCGTGCGAGGCCCCCCGTCCCTCCGTCGATGGAGCCCTCGAGCACGACGCCGGGGTGCTGGTTGTGCAGCTGGTGGCAGAGCTCGGGGCCCGCGACCGTGAGGGAGAGCATGGCGGCGTCCTGCGGGCGCCGGGGGGGGGTCGGAGGAGGCGAGCACACCGTCGGCCAGGACAGCGGCTTCGATGCGCAACTTCGATGCGCAACCTTCCCCGTGGATTGCAAAGGTTCGGCCTCCGCGCCCCCCTCCACGATTCAATCCTGTTGGACGGGGAGAACAAAAATAGAGGGGGTGCGCAACCTTCCCCGTGGATTATAAAGGTTCGGCCTCCGCGCCCCTCTCCACGATTCAATCCTGTTGGACGGGGAGAACAAAAATAGAGGGGGTGAAGGGTGGGTAGACTTTCTTATCGCCCGCACGCGGTTAGTAAGGACGCGCGGTAAGGATGCGAGGGCCTCGGAACGCCATGTTGACGTTTTCCGTGCGGCGCGAGGCAGCATGCCGAACGATGCCGAAGGAGCCGAAGGGGCAAGGATGCAAGGGTAGCCTTGGAAAGTTGCCCCATCCTTACTATCGTGGTTGACAATACCGGAACAAAGAATGGCATCAACCAGGATGCGCAGCAGCGCCATGCAGGCATCGGGCCGCACCGGAGGGTCGCAGTAGCGAGATGTCGAATCGGACAGCCAAGGTGGGGACCCAAAGAATATACACCACCACCACCACCACGTCGATGTCTCCTCTCCTCTACCCTACTCTTCCTGTCCTCTTTCCTGGGAGAGGGAGGGGGTGAGGGAGGTGGTGGTGGTGTATATGTTTGGGCCCCCCACAGGGGAGGCCCAGCGAGGCGATGAGAGTGAGAAGATGGTAACCAGAACGGCGAAAGTGCGAGGGAGGTTCGGGGCGGACGAGGCTGTCCTCCTCGCAACAGGGAGAGGCCGCAGAATAAGCAGGCGCCAAGCCACATGCATGAACACGACCCCCCAGTCCGGTGCGAACATTCGGGCAATGCATACCCATCGGTCGGAAGAAGTGGGTAGAAACATGAAGTAGGAAGGCGTTGACAATAGATTGGGCTCCGTCCGCCCACTAAGGAGAACGGAAAAGGTGAAGCCATTCGATCATTGAAGTAGGAAGGCGCTAAAAGTAGATTGGAACATGGGGATCCAAAAATACCTACTTTCAACGACCGAGGGGTGCCCCCGAAGTCCCCTGATAATTCCCGCACCTGGACTTGCTCTCAAGTCCGCTGCGAGCGACTGGGCAGTGCATGCCCCCGACAGCCCCAGCCCCTCACGATTCTTGCACTTGCATTTCGGTTCATAAGTATTACAATCCGTATTCCTAGCATACTTGTTAGGTGTCTCGTTCAACATCTCATTGTTCGCGTTCCCATTGTCAGTTTCGAAACATTCATCCTGTATTAACATTAGTATTATAGCACTAATTTTCGCAGTGTGAATATGACATTTCGTCTCGGTACTGTCTTTCGTGATCGTCTTAGTATGCAAAGTATGCACCTTCGTGTCATTCGCAATCTTATCATTGCCCGTGTTATTCTAATGTGTGCTGTTCTGGATACATAATATTATTTTGACTACTAGTATTGGTATGCTTCTGGCGTCCTGTCTTCCCCCGCCCACCTCACCTGGTGAGGGTCAACGATGGGGGGATGCTGGATCCAGAGGGGGACACCTCGAGCCGCAGTAGGCGATGCATTGCCTATAGATCGGCGACAGGCCACGGGCAGCGAAAACGCACCTTCCTGGGCGGGGCTGGGCAATCGGGCCCCTACAGTCGGCCCGTAGCACAAGGATGCGCGATGAGGATGCAAGGGCCTTGGACGCCCAATTGGAAGCTTCTCGAGTGGGGCACGGCCAACGAACGTGGCCAAGGATGGACCGAGGAGGCAAGGACGCAAGGGCACCCTTGGGAAGGTTGCCCATCCTTACAGTGGAGGCCAGTCCACAAGAACTCTTCCGCAAGAAACCCACCCTGAGACCCCAGGACGTCCATCGATTGTTGGTGTGAGAACGTCACGCTTTCCGTTGCAAAACCATCGAAACCCAAGAAGCCCAGGGCACGCTGGAGGCAAGCAGGGTATTTCCTGACATGGGCCTCACTGCATTATGCGGGTTGAGCACCTCCGTTGCTGGAAAAAACGCAAAAGGACCGAAGAAAACGTCCGCAACACCCATTCCCCCTTGGAGGAGGAGGAGGAGGAGGAGGAGGAGGAGGAGGCGGAGGAGGCGGAGGAGGAGGAGGAGGAGGAGGTGGAGCAGGAGGAGGAGGAGGAGGAGGAGGAGAAGCAGGAGGAGCAGGAGGCGGAGGCGGAGGCGGAGGCGGAGGAGGAGGAGGAGCAGGAGGAGGAGGCGGAGGTGGAGGCGGAGGCGGAGGACGAGGAGGAGCAGGAGGAGGAGGAGGCGGAGGCGCAGGCGCAGGAGGGGCGGCGGAGGCGGAGGAGGAGGCGGAGGCGGAGGGGAGCCACGCGGAGGGGAGCCACGCCTCCCCTCGAGGTTGCCCCCGACCCTGCCCTGGTCCTGGTCCAGGTTGACGCACACGAGGCGCGGGAGCCTCGTGTTGCCTGGCGGGGAGCGCGTGGCGTGCGCCGCCGAGGGCCGGGCCGCCGCGGCTGCCTCTCCCGCACGGGCACGCCCGCGGCGACGCCAGGCAGCGAAGGCCGACCGAGCTGATCTTCGGAGGGCCAGCCGAGGCTGATGAGCCTGTTTTCCACCACCACCACCACCACCACCACCACCACCACAAGTTGGTAGAGGTGGTCCTCCTCCTCCTCCTCCTCCTCCTCCTCCTCCTCCTCCTCCTCCTCCTCCTCCTCCTCCTCCTCCTCGTCCTCCTCCTCCTCCTCCTCCTCCTCCTCCACCTCCTCCTCCTCCTCCTCCTCGTCCTCCTCCGCCCTCCCCCTGCAACTTATGGTGGTGGTGGTGGAAACAGCTCCATCAGAGACAGCGGCCAGGCCCAATGTGCATCGGGTCGCGCAATCGGATCTGGTCAGAGATGGGCTGCGTCGCCGGCGGAGCGTCCCGGATCGAATCGCCATCGCATCGCCGCGTCCGGCTCTGCGGCTGGCCCTGGCCGATGCCGGTGGATCAGCCCGAATAGACAATCGAATCGCACTCGCGGGCCCAGCCTGGGTCGACTCGAACATCCAGTCGCATCACACATCGAAGTCGAGTGGAGCATCGAAGTAAAGATCGCATCGAAACCGAATCGCATCGCATCGGGGCGCACGCGGCCTCGGCGGCGGCCACGCCCTGGCCTCTTGCCGCTGCGTCTGCTGGCCAAGCGAGAGGGGGGGCTGCTCGCCGCGGGGGGCGCCGGGTAGCCGCCTCGAGGCATGGCTCGGGACGGAGCCCAAAGAGAGTGGTGGTCGTCTTTTTTTTCTTCGGCGTGTCGACATTGGGAGGGAGGGAGGGGGGGGGTCTGCCTCTGGAACTCTGCTTCGTGCGACTGTCTGCAGCAGCGCGTCCTGCTGGGGGAAGGCTCCGCCTGCTCGAAGCAGGCGCCCCAAGCAGCCAAGATCTGCTCAAGGGGGGGGGGGAGGGGGGGGTGCACGGGACGGCGCCGATCGGCAAAACAACAAAAACGATCACGTGGGCAGCTCCTGTTTCTGCACGGTCACGACGATTCCAAGTGGCGCACATGCTCGCCAGTGCATGCGGAGTTAGGCTGGGGTAGTGAGGTGGGTGGAATATCATTGCTGGCATCTTCCGCAGGCCACTTGGGCTAAGGAGTTTGCTGGGCCTGAGGGTGCACAAACGCCCAGAGCTGGATCCCAAGACCAGCAGCAAACAGCAGCTCTCTCAACACGTAGTTGCGAAAAGCTGTCGGTGCCTCGCTGCCATCTCTCTTGTTCTGCACGGTCCCGACGACTCCAATCTCGTGAGGGGCGGGGGCTTCCCCTCGTCGAAGAGAGAGCACCGGACCTGACATGGGGCTCGGCTCCCCGCTCGAGCGCGAGCCGGCGGCGAGCGAGGGGGGGGGGGGGGGGGGGAAAGCGACGAGGAAGGAGAAGGCCTCCTCAGCAAGCGGCGGGGCTTCTCAGAAGCGCCCGCGCCTTCTGAGGAGCGTCCTGTGCCTTGGGTTTAGGCTCGTCAAAGAGAGAGCACGGGACCTGACATGGGGCTGGGCTCCCCGCTCGAGCGCGAGCCGGCGGCGAGCGAGGGGGGGGGGGGGGGGGGGGGGGCAAAGCGACGAGGAAGGAGAAGGCCTCCTCGGCAAGCGGCGGGACTTCTCAGAAGCGCCCGCGCCTTCTGAGGAGCGTCCTGTGCCTTGGGTCAAGGGGGCGGCCCAGAGGGACGTGGTCAACGAGGGCGAGGACGCCGACGACCGCCCGCACCTCGGCGTGGGCGGCGTCCACGTCGGGGCGGCGGCGTCGAGGTCGACGGCGGCGAGGTGGACGGCGGCGAGGGCGACGACGACGACGACGACGACGACGACGACGACGACGACGACGACGACGACGTCGGGCGGTGCTCACCTGGTAGAAGACCCTTGGAGGCCGAAAAAAAAAAACACGTCCCGATTTTCGCGAGACGCCCGAGGTCTGGGTATGGGGGGGCGCGCTTCCGGCTGGCGGAAGCAGCGGGGCGGCGCGCTCCGGGGGCGTCTTTGCCGAGGCGGCAGACTCGCCATCGCTCGGACGCCCATTCCCTGTGCTTTTGTTCGGTTTCGCGCGTGGTTTTCTCGCCAAAAGTGATCAAGGATGCTCCTCGATGGCCCTCGCCGAAGGAAAAGTGCACCCGTCCGAGCGACGCCAAGGCAGAGAGGCGCCCTCCGCGGGCAGCGGAGCGGCCGGGGGGGGGGGCCTCCTCGGAGCCCCGCCCCCCCCCGGCTGGCGCGCGGGAGGCAGCCCCGCTCGCGCCGCCGCCTCTCCGAGGAGGCACGCCGCCGACCCGGAAGCACAGAGGGCAGTTTTTAAGACATTGGATTTTTAAGCCTACAGGGTTTTTGATCGGACATCGGGCGACTCGAAAAAACTCGGGCCGGGGGGTTTTCGTCATGTTCGGCCCCCCGGGGTCCTCGCTGGGCAAAGGGACCGTCAACAAACGACTCGACATGAAAAACCGGTCCTGGGGAAGTGGTCGGGAGGTCGGGGGCCCGTGCCCCGAAAAAATCGAGACGTCGGAGATCTGGGCGCATGCTTGATTTGTGAATGACTGTATGCATGAACTCATCGTTGTTTTTGATACTAAATCCCTGCATTTGTATGCATGATCCGCACGCGGAGCATGTATGAAAAACGGCACTGCAGAAGGGCGCGCGAGGAGGAGGCGAGGGCCTCGGAAGGCCCCGTCGACACCTCGCGGGCGGGGCGCGGCCAGCAGGAGCGGCCGGGGAGGCGCCGAGGAGGCGAGGGCGCGAGGTCGGGAGGCGGGGCGCGGCCAGCAAGAGCGGCCGGGGAGGGGCCGAGGAGGCAGGGCTGCACCCTGACCTTCCAGAGAGCTATTTTTTAGCACTGGAGGCCTGAAAACCTAAAAAGCTGAGCGAAGCAGCCTAAAACCAAGACGTAGAATAGCTTTGGGATAGGTTTTAGGTCGGGTGCTATTTTGTAGCCCTCCTGGAAGGTCAGGGCAAGGGCACCCTTGGGAAGGTTGCCCCGGGTGGACTGGATTCCTGGCCTCGCGCGCGCCGGAAGCGCGCCGCCCTGTCACTCGCCCAGGCCGCCAACGGAGCGACAAGGGAGAAGAGCAGAGATGTGCGGCTAGAAAACAAGTGAGATGTGTTTCTCGTGCGCCTCCTTGCGCCGCCAGCCGACTGCGAAAACAAAGCCGCCCGAAGCCGACCGATGCCGATGGAACGGAAACAGCCTAGAACATCGAAGTGACGCAGCAAACACGCAGCAACCGAACGCAACCGACCGCAACCGGCTGCGACGCAACCGACTACGACGAAGCCGACAGCGACGCAGCCGAACCGACCGAACCGCGGACACCCTTGCTCTTCCGCCTCGACCGCTGCCCCCCTGCCGCTACCACCGACCACCACCGCCCCTGCTGATGTAACCAACTCTCTGTCATGCGCGATCACGCCCGTGACCGCCCCCGCCCACCCCCCTCCTGCTCTCCCCCCGGTCACGTCACTCTTCGCGTCAGCGCCGTCTGGGAATTTGCCATTCTGTAGTCGTTCCCACAAGGCGCCGGCGCGAATCGTGACGTGGTTGGCCCCTTCCCCCCCTCACCCCCAGGTCACGCCCGCGATCGCCAGGATGAAGAGCCATCCTGACGAAGGACCCAACCAAATTCAAATGTGAATACCGCATTGTCGTTACCGCTTTCACGAAACGCGTGAGGGGTGTGCCGTATCATGGCCCATACGGGGGTTTCACCCAAGGCCCCAGTGGCAGGGTCCGCATGCGTGTCCCTCACCCAGTACAGCGTTTCGTGGCCCATAGGGAGCTCCACCGAATGCCCCAGTGGCAGGGTTCACATGCGTCTTCCTGCCTCATTTCGGCACACCCCTCACACGCTTCGTGCCCCCATAAAAACCTCCACCGAAGGCACCGGTGGGAGGGTCCACATGCGTCACCCTGCCCCATTTCGACACCCCACCACCATAAGACACTGGGTGGGAAAACGCAGCTGGACCCTGCCACTGGGGCCTTCGGTGTTGCTCCCTGTGGCGTGGAGCTCCCTATGGGCCACGAAACGGTATACTGGGTGGGGGAAACGCATGTGGACACTGCAACTGGGGCCTTCGGTGAAGCTCCCTATGGTCCACGAAACGCTGTGCTCTGTCGGGGAATCACATGTGGACCCTGCCACTGGAGCCTTCGGTGGAACTTCCTGTGGGCCGCGAAACATGATACCCTGTGGGGGCGACGCATGCGAACTTTGCATGAGAGCCTTCGGTCGAGCTCCCTATGGGGCCAGGAGGCGCTGTACTGGGCGGGGGAGACGCACACGAACTTTGCTTCTGGGTGCCTTCGGGGGAGCTGCCTATGGGCCACACATCGCTGTACTGTAGGGAAGACGCACGCGAACTTTGCCACTGCTGCCTTCGGTGGAGCTCCCTATGGAGCCAAGAAGCGTGTAAGGGATGTACCGGAATGGTTGATATGCGAAGGGCAGAGGGAGGAGAGTGGAGAGGGAGGAGGGGTGCGAAGTGAGGAGCGCGGGGCGCCGTCTCTTCAAAACGAAGGCCCAACACCACAGGAAGATGGGGAAAAACGGTCTCCTACCAGGAGGCTGGAAGACATGGCTGGATCCGAAGAAGGAAAAACGACATCAACATAAACGTTTGGCGCTCCGCGCGGACTTCTTGGATCTGCGCTGGAACCCCTCCCTGGCGCGCAGAGCGCGCCAGGGGCGGCACCGGAGGCGGCGCCGGGGGGGCCCAGCGCGGACCCAAAAACTCCGCGCGGAGCGCCAACAGTTTATATGTGAATGGCGCCTTTTTCTTCTTCGACGCAGAGCATCCCGCCCGCCGGGGAGCAGGGGGGAGGCGCGCGGCCGTCTTTGAGCACCACCGGGTGCGCGCCGATGCGCGACTCGAGCAGCTCGAAGGGGGCGGACCAGCTGGACCCGCGGTGCGGATCGGTCATCGGCCGGATGGCCACCTGGCGCAGGGACCACTCAGATCCCTCCTCCCTCCCCCTCCTCCTCTCCCTCCTCCCTCCTCCCGCCCCCCCCCTCCCACCTCCCTGCTCCCTCCTCCTCCTCCTCCTCCTCCTCCGCCTCCGCCTCCCCTCCTCCTCCTCCTCCTCCTCCTCCGCCTCCTTCCTCCTCCTCCGCCTCCTCCCTCCTCCTCCGCCTCCTCCTCCTCTCTCCTCCTCCTCCTCCTCCTCCTCCTCCTCCTCCTCCTCCTCCTCCTCCTCCTCCTCCTCCTCCTCCTCCTCTCACTCCGCCTCCTCCTCCTCCTCTCCCTCCTCCTCCTCCTCCTCCTCCTCCCCTCCTCCTCCTCCTCCTCCTCCTCCTCCTCCTCCTCCTCCTCCTCACTGCCTCCTCTGCCTCCTCCTCCTCCTCCTCCTCCTCCTCCTCCTCCTCCTCCTCCTCCTCCTCCTTCTCTGCGTCCTCTGCCTCCTCCGCCTCCTCCGCCTCCTCCTCCTCCCTCCCTCCCTCCCTCCCTCCCGCGCGGGGGCCATCATAAAAATGACGAGACCCAATCGTAAATTTGACGCGGGCTCCCGCTGCAGACATCCCCCACGAAAACGGGACCGTCAAAATCCAGGACGCGCTCTTCAAAAAGAAGTCGGCAAACCCGAGTTCCGGCTTACTCGAGTCTTACGTTTCCCCGGCTGTAGAGGGACATGCCCGACTCGAGCATGGACGGAGGAGGCAAGGATGCAAGGGTACCCTTGGGAAGGCTGCCCAGCGGTACCAATCGGCTTCGAGAACCGAGCGGCTCGAGGTGCAAGGGTCGAGGTGAACGAATGTCTCGACTGTGCTGCTCTCCCCTTGGGCTATTCGCGCCTAGCGTTAGGCTGGACATGTCCCCCTACAGGCGGATGTTGGACGAAAAATAAACCACAGTCAAACAACGATTCAGAATGTGCCAGAAACACCCGTATAAAATAGTAGTAGCAGTAGTAAAAATCGTAGTAGTAATAATGCTATTATTGATAACAATACTGATAATACGAATATGAATAATAATAATAATAGTAATAATAATAATAAGAATAATAATACTAATACTAACCATAATAATAACAACAACAATAATAATAATAATAATAGTAATAAGGATAATGAAAATAATGTTAATGATAACAAAAATAACAATAATAAGAATGATAAGAGTACTACGAATAACAACACACATAAGAAGAAACACAACCAAAAACACACACCAACAAAAAAACGTCCCCATACTGTTTCTATGTGTTGGCCATCTTTGACTACTCCCCCCTGTAGAGGGACAGGCCCGACCTGACCCCGCCGCCGCCCCCGAGCCAGGGCGGCCGCGCGCCTTCACCCTCTGCTCGCGCGCGGACGTCCACCAGAGGGCGCCGCTGCTGCCCGGGGGCACCTGCGGCCGAGCGCCCAAAGGCCGCCCCAGCGACGGCCGACGCCGGCCGCGGGCCGCCGCCGGCGTCGGGCCGCCGCCGTACGGCGCACGGCGCTGAGAAAACAACGAGTGCGCAGACTCTTCTGCTGCGTTGCCTTGAGATTGTCTATTCATCTTGGTTTGGGGAAACGAAACGGTATGCAGCGCACAGAGACAGAATTACTCCTGCTGTATGTCCGCCTGGGAGGCGCGCGTCCGACCCGAACATGTAGTACTGTAATATACCCATCTTGTGGTGCATCGTTTCCCGAGCGGTGTGGCCAGAGAGCGCCAGCCACGACGCGTGTACTAGAAGATTTCTGGATGCGCGCGTCGCCCGTGGGGGGGCGACGCACATACAGTCTATGTATGTTGGGGTGACGCCGAGGGCAGGATAGTCAAAGGGCCCGAAATGGAGGGCAAAGAATCAACCCCCATAGTAAACATCACCCCGACCAGCGAAGCCGTGCAGCAAACGCACCCAGGGACGGACTCGAGAACAGGGCAGGGCTTTGTTGGTGAACGCCCAGGGCCGTTTCGTAAACGCCAACTGTCTGGCCCGGGTGATTTTGGGGGAACTAGAAGTGGCATCAACCCTAACAACTCGGAGGTCCGCGCGGATTCCTCGGATCGGCGCTGGGCCACCCCCGCGGCGCCGCCGCCCCTGGCGCGCTCCGCGCGCCAGGGAGGGGGGTCCAGCGCCGATCCGTGAAATCCGCGCGGAACTCCGAGATGTTATGTTTATGCCACTTTGCGTGGCCCTAGCTTTTTCTGAGGCTAACCAGCATTATGTTGTTCCCGTCGTACTCATGGACCGCATCCCAAAAATATGTTCGAGCACCCAAAAAAGTAGGTTGGAACATCATAAAACCAGCCGTGGCGGCGCGAGCTCTCTCGGACGAGCAGTGGCATCGGCGCCTTTGGAACCCCGAAACAGTGCGGCGACAGACCGTGCGGTGACCTCGAACCCCCCCAAAAACTCACCGCACGGTCCGTCGCCGCACGGTCCCCGTCGCCCGAGACGCCCTCGGACAACGACCCGCGTCCCAAAACCGTGCGGTGACCCGGGGGCCCGCACCCCCACCGACTCACAACAGGGCGTGGTCCCAGACGTGCGACGCCCTGAATTCTTCAGGACGGCGTCCCCGGAAGTCCCGACCCCTTCCGCAAGACCGGCTCTTCGTCCCGAACCATGTGTTGACGGGCCTGGCGAGGGCCCCCCCCCCGGGGCCGAAGACGGCGGAAAACCTCCCGTCCTGATTATTGTTTTCACCACGCGACCAGGCGTGCCCAGACATCCGGCGTCTCGATTTTTTCGAGCCACGGGCCCCCGACCTCCCGACCAGTTCCCCGGGACCGGCTTCTCACCCCGCGTCGTTTCTTGGACGGCCCCGAGGCCCGGCGAGGGCGCCGAGAGCCCGAAAACCACCAAAAACCTCTCGCTTTCTTCGAGACGCCCGATGCCTAGGTGCCTGGGGCCAGCACCCCGCCCCGAGGCCCCCGAGGCACCCCCTCCTCCTCCTCCTCCTCCTCCTCCTCCTCCTGCTCCTCCTCCCTCCTCCTCCTCCTCCTCCTCCTCCTCCTCCTCCTGCCCTCCTCCCTCCTCCCTCCTCCCTCCTCCTCCTCCTCCTCCTCCTCCTCCTCCTCCTCCTCCTCCTCCTCCTCCTCCTCCTCCTCCTCCTCCCCTCCTCCTCCTCCTCCTCCTCCTCCCTCCCGCCCCGACGGGCCGGCCCGACGACCGGCGGCGGCGCGCGCCGAGAAAGCCGGCCGACGGGCCCCCGGCGGCGGGCCTCCGCGCGGGCGCCCGCCGAGGGCCGGGGGCCCGCCGGGGGCGTACGGCCATGCCGCCCGCGCCCGTCGGGGGGAACGACAGGGCAGGGTAATCAGCAGACCCCCTCGAGTAATGAAAAAATCATGACGGTAGGTTTTCCTTCATTCTCGGCCTCCGGGGTCACTCACTGGGCCTCGGGAGCGTCAAAAAACGACTCAGGATGCAAAGCTGGTCATGGGGAAAGGGTCGGGACCTCTGGGAGTCGACGTAATGAAAAAATCATTACGTCGGGGGTCTGGGATCAGCAGAGCCAGACACCCAGAGATCCAACACCTTGAAAAAATCAAGACGGAAGTTTTTCGCGGCGTTTCGCCCCTCGTGGCCCTCGCCGGGCCCCGGGACCGTCAGAAAAGGACTGAGGATGAGAAGCCGGTCCTGGGGAATGGGTCGAGACTTCCTGGGACCCCGTATTGAAAAAAACACGACATCGGATCTCTGGACATCGGGCATCTCTCGAAAAAAATCGAGGCGGTGATATTTTTCGTCGTCTCTTCGGCCTCTCGGGGCCCTCGCCGGGCCTCGAGGGACCGTCATAAAAAGCGGCTCGGGGCGCAAAACCGGTCCCGGGAAAGTGGTCGGGAGGTCGGTGGCCCGCATCTCGTAACAATCGAAACGTCGGATGCCTGGGAAGGGCAGGGCATGCAGTAGGCAACCCTTCCCAGACATCCGACGTCTCGATTTTGTTCGAGACACGGGCCCCCGCCCTCCCGACCACTTCCCCGGGACTGGCTCTTCGCCCCGAGTTGTTTCTTGACGGCCCCGAGGTCCGAAGGCGCCGAGAAGCCGAAAAATCCCGTCTCGACTTTTCCGAGACGCCCGATGTCTGGGTTTCCCAGAGATCGAACGCACTGAAAAAATCAAGACGGATGTTGTTTGCTATTTTTGGCCTCTGGGGGCCCTTTGGAGTGTATGGTATTGGGCTCAATCTTGGTAGAATAGGAAAGGCGAGGGAGGTACTCTTACCTCTGGGGCTCCAGTGGCCCCGATGAAGGCCTGTAGCACAAATGGCTATGGACAGAGCGAACAGATGTCAGCTTCCAGGGTAGGCGGATCCTCTCGAGAATCGACACCCTCCCTTCCCTAGCGCGCGAAGCGCGGCGGCGGCGGCGGCAGGAGAAGGAGGAAGAGGAGGAGGAGGAGGAGGAGGAGGAGGAGGAGGAGGAGGAGGGGACTCCGCGCAGGTGCGGCCCGATGCGACGCACGTGTCGATCCGGCCCGACTTCCCGATTCGACGCTGGCCACTCCTCCTCCTCCTCCTCCTTCTCCTCCTCCTCCTCCTCCTCCCTCCTCCTCCTCCTCCTCCTCCTCCTCCTCCTCCCCCTCCCCCTCCTCCTCCTCCTCTCCTCCTCCTCCTCCTCCTCCTCCTCCTCCTCCTCCTCCTCCTCCTCCTCCTCCCTCCTCCTCCTCCTCCTCCTCCCCTCCTCCTCCTCCTCCTCCTCCTCCTCTCCTCCTCCTCCTCCTCCTCCTCCTCCTCCTCCTCCTCCTCCTCCCTCCTCTCCTCCTCCTCCTCCTCCTCCTCCTACCTCCTCCTCCTCCTCCTCCTCCTCCTCCTCCTCTCTCCTCCTCCTCCTCCCTCCTCCCTCCTCCCTCCTCCCTCCTCCCTCCTCCCTCCTTCCTCCTCCTCCCTCCTCCCTCCTCCCTCCTCCCTCCTCCCCTCCCTCCTCCCCTCCTCCTCCCTCCTCCCTCCTCCCTCCTCCCTCCTCTCCTCCCTCCTTCCTCCCTCCTCTCTCCCTCCTCCCTCCTCCCTCCTCCCTCCTCCCTCCTCCCTCTCCTCCTCCCTCCTCCCTCCTCCCTCCACCCTCCTCCCTCCTCCCTCCTCCTCCTCCTCCTCCTCCTCCTCCTCCTCCCCTCCTCCTCCTCCTCCTCCTCCTCCTCCTCCTCCGCCCCCTCCTCCTCCTCCTCCTCCTCCTCTCCTCCTCCTTCTCATCCTCCGCCTCCTCCTCCTCCTCCTCCTCCTCCTCCTCCTCCTCCTCCTCCTCCTCCTCCTCCTCCTCCTCCCAGCCCCGACCCCGGACCGCGGCGCGCGAAGCGCCCTGCTCCCCGCACCAATCGCGGTGGCAGAATCCCACCCCGCAGCGCCAGCTCGTCTTCTGCCCCCTGCAGATCTCTCGGGCCGAGCCTCGGCTCTCCGGCGGCGCCGCTGGCAGCGAGTCCGGCGCCCCCCGGGACGCCCTCGGCGAGGTGCAGCTGCTGGAGATCGGCGGCGAGCCCGGGGGGGGAAGTGGGGAATGGCGAGCCGTCTGAGAGGGCTCGGCAGTGCCCCGGCCTTCCGAGAAACGTTTTTTTATGTTTCCCGGAGGCGCCGAGAACACTTCTCGGGAGGGCCAGGGGGGGCCTGCAGACAAGACCCGCCGCCTTCCGAGACGGGCCTTCTCGCCTTCGCACTCCCCCCACCCCTTACTAGCCTGGAACATATCCCTATCCCTATGCTGGGCACCTCCTCATTACGATGCCCATCTTAGGGATTTCCTTATGTTTTGAGGGTCATCTTAGGGATAGGGATACGTTCGAGGCTGGTAACCGTCCTCTTCGCTCCCCCCCGCGGGTGACCTGCGCGGTCGCGCCCCGAGGGCGGCGGCGGCGGCGCCCGCGGCGGCGAGCGGGGTGTGCACGCCCGGAGCGGGAGCGTCCGAGCAGATGGCGTCGCCGCTTCATCGGCGATGCATCGGCGATGTAATGCGCGACGACGGCGAGGCATCGGCGCCATCGACGTGGAGAACATCGGGAGCCGCATCGGCGATGCATCGGCGAGGCATCGGCGATGCGGCGCTATCCTCCGACCCCTTCTGCTCCGACCCCACCCAGGACTCTAGGAGGCCGAGCTGTCCAGAGCCGACGGCGGCCGCTCTTTGGGCAGGCACTCTTCGGTCTCAAGCGGACAACGTCCTCGGCGACACCGACGTCGAGCCCTGCTCAAAATGAAGAGGCACTGCTACGAGGGGAAAAAAACAAAAACATAAAAACTCAGAGGTCCGCGCGGATTTCTCGGATCGGCGCTGGACCCCCCTCCCTGGCGCGCGGAGCGCGCCAGGGGTGGCGCCGGAGGCGCCGCCGGGGGGCCCCAGCGCCGATCCGAGAAATCCGCGCGGACCTCCGAGTTGTTATGTTTATGTCACATTTTGTTCCCCTGAGAAAAGCCCCAGGCCTCGAAACCTGGCGCAAGCCTCGAACGCTCAGAGAAGCCCGGGACCTCGCAGCCTGCGAAACCGGGCAGAGCGAGCTGCTCCTTGCGTGGGCGGGCGAGGGCCCGCCGTCGCCGCCGTCGGCGTCGTCGTCGTCGTCGTCGACGTCGTCGTCGTCGTCGGCCTCCGCACCCGACTTTCCCGCACCCGCTCCGACCGTGCCGAGCTGGGGCCCGCGCCCACGTGGCGGACTCCACGCCGACGCCCTCCTGCAGGAAGCCCACCTGCGGGGGACCCCGCGGCCCGCCCCGCGCCCGCCCGCCTGTGGGGGCGCCGAGAGGTGCCGACGCCGCGGCTCCCCGGAGCTCTCCCTGGCCATCGCTCGGACGTCCACTCCCCGTGTTTTGTTTCGGCTTCGCGCGTGGCATTTTCGCGAAATGATCCAGGATGCTCCTCGATGGTCCTCGCCGAAGGAACATGCACACGTCCGAGCGACGCCCGGCTCCGGGGGCACGCCCTGGCCGGGACCCGGGGGCGAACCTGGCCGCGGCGCGACGAGGGCCTCTCCCGGGAGGCGGCGCGAGGGGCAGAAGCAGAGAGAGAGCAGCGGCATCGGCACGCGCGCGCGAGGAGGCGGCGCGCGAGGAGGCGGCGCGCGAGGAGGCGGCGCGAGGGCCTCCCAGGAGGCGGCGCGAGGCGGCATCGGCACCCTGTCCTCCTCCGAGCCGCGGGCCCGCCCTCGGTGCCTCCTCGGGGGCCGCAGGCCCGCCCTCGGTGGTTCGGGCGCTCGAGCCGGGCGGCCGTCGTCCAGCGGGGCACTGCCCGCCTGCCTGCAGCGCGGCTGCGTGCTTGCAGGAACCCGTGAGGGAGGGAACTTGTCGGAAGCTGGGCGAGGGCTGCTAAAATCGTGGCTGCTAAAAGCGGC